TTTTTTTTTAATGAACATGTAGTATTGAATAAAACCATTAGTAGTACCACTACTGCTAATAATAATAATCAGTATGGGGTTGTGGAGATGGTTCACTTTTTTTATTAAGATCATGAATCCATGAATGTTTGACTACCATTGAAAACCTGGGACCATTGGACTGCCTTTTCGTTCAATTGTGGGACTCATGAACAGTACTCAACCACGATCCTGCACGTAAGATTCAAACAAAAGATCTTCGATCTCGCGTGTGAACGTATAACCTCTAGACCACTAAGCTGGCATCCAAGAGTGTTAATGTCTAATTTCAATCAAACCGCGAAATTCTGCAACCATTTTCCATTGTCTGAGATAGATACTTATCCTTCTTTGACGTGGATCAGCTCCACTAGTGATGGCTTCTCACAACAACTCCGAGATTCACCTCTCCAAGGTAATCACTAGTCGTCAGCCAGTACATCATAATAATTATCAGTATAGGGCTGTGGAGAATGTCGACTATTTTCATCATTCAGATCATCAATCGATCAATGTGATGCCTGGTAGTGATAGATTGTGTGCTAGCTGTGTTGAAACATACTACGCACAAACATGAGTAGTATGATGAAAGTGGGGGGGGTGTTGTTGGCAGAAGGGATTCGAATTCAACACCTTAGGTCTGATGCACGAATAACCAACTCCTAGACTACTAAGATGTCATCCGACGCTCTTAATATCTCACTTTAACCAATCCACGATATTATCCAACCACTTTACATTGTCTTCGGTGACTAACTGCTACCTCACACTCCACTCGGATTATCTCCACTGGTCATGTCTTTTCACTAGAACTCCAAGAATCTAGTCACTAGTGATCATATGAAGTCGTGGAAACTGTCGAGTTCTTGATCGAGATCACTGAATAATAATAAGAAGAAGAAGAACAACAACAAGATCGATTCAATATTCTATCATAATTATCTAATAACATACCTTGCATTTGCTGAATACTGTTATCAACTTCTAAAACTTTTTCATACAATCCACATCTAGAATAATTTAAAGGTTTATATTCTATTATGTCATGATCATACATTGATTAATTGATAGTGATTTCACTGAAAGTTTTTCATTGATTCCATCTATATAAAAAAAATAAACAATCAATTTTATGAATTTGTTACTATGCCATTAAAATATGTTTACAGAAAAAAAACGAGAAAGAGAGAGAGAGAGAGGGGGGTGATCACAATTGATTGATCACTGGGTGGTGTTCAAGTGTCATGTGTGTCAAGTCCATCCTTAGTGCAGATGGAATGCTATCGATCAAGTTGCAATGTGATCACTAGTTTAAGTGACCTGACATTGCCTGAACTATGTTGAGATCAGATAGTGGTTGGAGGAAGTTAACAGGAAACCCTGGATCCGGGTTTCGTGCTATTTGGCACTTGTCAGCAAGGTATACCTGAGTGAGTGAGAGAGCCAAAACGAAGGTTGATTTATGATTGATTGATCACTGGGTGGTGCAGATTGAATTCTATCGATCGAGTTGTAATGTGGCAGCTAGTCTAGGTTGCTGTGTACGCTACTTATATCAATATGAGTAATATATAACAATAGTCAGGATTAGAATATCTGGCAACAAAAGATCGTGGAAGAAAGAACAGTAACAGAAAGCAGTTGGTATGAAAATGCAAGAACAATGAATCGTGAGACGATTGGCTAACATTTTAGAAGTGAAGTATTCACTATATGGTTCTCAGATTTCAATAAGATATTCTGTAATTTTGTGTTCAAGTACATTTGTTTTTCCCTACTTGTGTTCTTGTCCACTACATAAGTGACTCAATATTGCGTACACTATATTGAGATAAGATGATGATTGGAGGTAGTTAACAGGAATGTTTAAACCTAGGTTTCGTGTTACTTGACACTTGTCAGCAAGATGTACCTGTATTATTCTTGAAAGAACTGATGCTCCCTAACAGATTTAATCCCGTCTTACCTAGTTTCACAATCAAAGACATTGCCATTGATCTATCCGGGCCGCAACTGACCTCTTATAAGACTGAGATGTATTTACAATTGATTAATCACTAATCTTTTGATCAATGTCATGTATGTCAGGTCCTTCTTAGTGTAGATCGAATCCTATCGACCAATTCGCTATATAGACATTAGTCTAGATGACTTGATATTGAGTACAATATGTTGTGATAGATGGTAGTTGAATGTAGTGAATAACAAACCCTAGATTCGAGTTTCGTACTATTTGGCATTGACCATCATCATCATCATAATCATCATCATCATCATCATCATCATCATCATCATCATCATCATCATCATCATCATCATCATCATCATCATCATCATCATCATCATCATCATCATCATCATCATCATCATCATCATCATCATCATCATCATCATCATCATCATCATCATCATCATCATCATCATCATCATCATCATCATCATCATCATCATCATCATCATCATCATCATCATCATCATCATCATCATCATCATCATCATCATCATCATCATCATCATCATCATCATCATCATCATCATCATCATCATCATCATCATCATCATCATCATCATCATCATCATCATCATCATCATCATCATCATCATCATCATCATCATCATCATCATCATCATCATCATCATCATCATCATCATCATCATCATCATCATCATCATCATCATCATCATCATCATCATCATCATCATCATCATCATCATCATCATCATCATCATCATCATCATCATCATCATCATCATCATCATCATCATCATCATCATCATCATCATCATCATCATCATCATCATCATCATCATCATCATCATCATCATCATCATCATCATCATCATCATCATCATCATCATCATCATCATCATCATCATCATCATCATCATCATCATCATCATCATCATCATCATCATCATCATCATCATCATCATCATCATCATCATCATCATCATCATCATCATCATCATCATCATCATCATCATCATCATCATCATCATCATCATCATCATCATCATCATCATCATCATCATCATCATCATCATCATCATCATCATCATCATCATCATCATCATCATCATCATCATCATCATCATCATCATCATCATCATCATCATCATCATCATCATCATCATCATCATCATCATCATCATCATCATCATCATCATCATCATCATCATCATCATCATCATCATCATCATCATCATCATCATCATCATCATCATCATCATCATCATCATCATCATCATCATCATCATCATCATCATCATCATCATCATCATCATCATCATCATCATCATCATCATCATCATCATCATCATCATCATCATCATCATCATCATCATCATCATCATCATCATCATCATCATCATCATCATCATCATCATCATCATCATCATCATCATCATCATCATCATCATCATCATCATCATCATCATCATCATCATCATCATCATCATCATCATCATCATCATCATCATCATCATCATCATCATCATCATCATCATCATCATCATCATCATCATCATCATCATCATCATCATCATCATCATCATCATCATCATCATCATCATCATCATCATCATCATCATCATCATCATCATCATCATCATCATCATCATCATCATCATCATCATCATCATCATCATCATCATCATCATCATCATCATCATCATCATCATCATCATCATCATCATCATCATCATCATCATCATCATCATCATCATCATCATCATCATCATCATCATCATCATCATCATCATCATCATCATCATCATCATCATCATCATCATCATCATCATCATCATCATCATCATCATCATCATCATCATCATCATCATCATCATCATCATCATCATCATCATCATCATCATCATCATCATCATCATCATCATCATCATCATCATCATCATCATCATCATCATCATCATCATCATCATCATCATCATCATCATCATCATCATCATCATCATCATCATCATCATCATCATCATCATCATCATCATCATCATCATCATCATCATCATCATCATCATCATCATCATCATCATCATCATCATCATCATCATCATCATCATCATCATCATCATCATCATCATCATCATCATCATCATCATCATCATCATCATCATCATCATCATCATCATCATCATCATCATCATCATCATCATCATCATCATCATCATCATCATCATCATCATCATCATCATCATCATCATCATCATCATCATCATCATCATCATCATCATCATCATCATCATCATCATCATCATCATCATCATCATCATCATCATCATCATCATCATCATCATCATCATCATCATCATCATCATCATCATCATCATCATCATCATCATCATCATCATCATCATCATCATCATCATCATCATCATCATCATCATCATCATCATCATCATCATCATCATCATCATCATCATCATCATCATCATCATCATCATCATCATCATCATCATCATCATCATCATCATCATCATCATCATCATCATCATCATCATCATCATCATCATCATCATCATCATCATCATCATCATCATCATCATCATCATCATCATCATCATCATCATCATCATCATCATCATCGTCATTGATTATCTTCTCATTAACTGTTTATCATTTGAAATAGATTATAAACAACATTATTATTACAAATATGAGAGTGAATTAGAAATGAAGATATATGTATTACATATTATAGTAAAGATTCTAATTAGAGTTTACTGAGGACATAAAGAATTTTTATTTCAGATAAATAAGGTTTTCAGAGAGAGAGATAGAGAGAAGGTTCCAGAATATCGAACCCATGATTAGAACACATAGAATCAGATGATGACGTAATCAAGATATGAATTGGAATCCAGCCAATTTTATGAATTAAAGAAAAAATGATAACGATAATGATGTTAAACAAATGGGAGGTATGTTGTTAGATAATCATGATAGAATGTTGTTATGAAACTGTATAACTGAATTGATCTTGTTATTATTATTATTATTATTATTATTATTATTATTTGTGATCTCGATCAAGAACTTGTAGTGTGGCGTCGAATCGCAGTTGACTATGATCACCACCACAGGAAGGCTACGTGTCAGTTAACCGATAAGATCCCCCGTAAGTCAAATATCAGAAGGCAGTTGATGGCTGTAGTCGAAATGTATTTGTTGGCAATCTCGTGGTATCGAAAGAATACCGAGATTGTGCCAAAGGAGTACAAGTGTGGTTACTGAGCGTAACCGAATTCGTGCAAGGTCACAATCAACGGAAGAATGTATGTCTTTAGTACAGTTAGACAAACAAGTACAGTAAAACAATCACTGGTACAATTGGTTATAATAATAATTGTTTCCAACGAACCAATCGCATTCTCTTCATAAAAGTAGATCACTACAAACTCAACAATTTCCACAACTTGTTATGTTCACTAGTGACTAGATTCTTGGAGTTCTAGTGAAAAGACATGACTAGTGGAGTTAATTTATGTCAGGGAAGGATAGGTATCTATCTTAGACAATAGAAAATGGTTACGGAATCCCGTGGTCACTGTTGTTGATGTAATCAGCTGCTAGTGGGCAGCTTATACTCTTCTACGAGAGGTAACAGGCGTAAGTAAGTAAAACTAATCTCAAAACATTTGCATGATACATGACATCAAATGGATACACTCAAGTCTTTCAAATCTTTTGTAGATATGACTTGGAATCCAGCCAATTTTATGAATTAAAGAAAAATGATGATGATGTAATCAGAACAATTGAAATAATGAATGATGTAATGTTATCAGGATGAACAAATATATATTACTGTTTCTATTTTGGATACATAAATTTAGTTGAAGAGGTTTGAACACAATAGCCTGGATAAATTTCAGAAGATTAGGATCGAATTATTTATGAATCATCTGTCATTTCAAGACATTAGTACGTCTCAACAAACACAAGATTCTCAAATACAACACAGTCATACTTGATGGAGACATTCTCGAAGAGATGGAATCCTTCATATATCTGAACAGCATCATCGATCAACAAGAACGATCTGATGCAGATGTAAATGTGAGGATTGACAAAGTAAGAACACTATTCCTACAGTTGAGGAACATATAGAACTCAAGACAACTATCAACCAATATCAAAGTCACAATCTTCAACACCAACACCAACACATTTCTACTAATATATCCAGCTGAAACTTCGAGAATCATTACAACAACCATCAACGTGTACAGGTATTTATGGACAATTGCCTCAGTGAGATACCAAATGTCCGTTGGTTGGACACCATCAGCAACAGCCTACTGTGTTACAGAACAAAACAACTTCCAACTGATGAGGAAATTAGGAAGAGACGGTGGAAGTGGATAGGACAACACATTGAGGAAATGATCAGACTGCATCATGAGGTGAGTACTAACTTTGAACTGTGAAAGAAAACAGAGAATGAGAATGCGAAAGAAGACAGTATCGAGAATTGTAAGGAGACATAAGAATAATGAATGATAGCTGGAAAGAACTGGAGAGGATTGCGTAGGACAGGGTTGAATGGAGAATGTTGGTGATCCACCTATGTTCCCCCACGAGGTAATAGTAATAAATAAGTATATATATATATATATATATAACCTAAGCAAAATCTGATTGAAATGTTTCATCTAAATCATGCATTTTCAAACAATCGAATCCCAATCTTTCGAAACTCTCCGAAGCTATAATGATCAAATGTCTTCAATCGAATTTCCGTATCCGATTTGTAACATTAAAAGAGGTACAAAATGTATGATACTTTCAAGGTCATCACAGGTGGGCGAATTCAAAATTACAAAATAACTATCAAATAATCAACAAATATGTCGTGAATGCGCACTGCTGAGGAGTCCCACAATAGGACGAAACGGCCGTCCAGTACTTCCAAGTTTTCTATGGTGATCTAGCTTCAGTTGACTCATGATCTTAACCATTGAAATTACTATAATCGTCAAAAAACCTCTTCTGATACAAATATGTATTTTTGTAGTGAACAAGTACATGAGTGGGGACAATCGAATATATTTGAATATAAAATTACAGAACGTATAACAATGGTATCATACTTGACTGTTCCTTTTGTAAATATCAATTCATCGTCTCAGATTTCATTCGTTCTGTATTTTCATACCAACTACTTTCCGTTCCCGTTTTTTTTCTTCTCGATCTTCTACTGAAATACATTCTATTCCCGATTATCATTATATACTACTTATGTGGATACAAGTATCTCACACCACAGTATGTTAAAGATTCATTAGTGAGATGAGTAAATATGATTGAAGTTAGACATTAACATCGTTGGATGCCGGCTCAGTGGTCTAGTTGGTTAAGCGAAGGCGTCAGACTGATAGGTCCTCGGTTCGAATCCAGCGAGGTGCAGGGTCGTAGATGCGCACTGCTGAGGAGTCTCGTACTGGGACGAAACGGCCGTCCAGTACTTCCAGGTTTTCCATGGTGGTCTAACTTCAATTGACACATGATTTCAACAAGTACAATATAAAACACTCTATATTATCCTCACTTATGCTTTGTGACATCATAAATCCTGCATGAACTTACATGTCAGCATTCCAATTTGTTTTGTTGTATTTCTTAAATTCTCTTCATCTATCTTTAAAGTTCCTATGATTACGTAATGAAGAAAACAAACTATTTAGAATGTAATGAATATTGGGTTCATATTGAGCTTTAGAAAGAAACAATGTGATGAGGTAATTCAATGTATAATTCTAACTAGCATTTGTTATACACTGAAGAGTATATACAAAAACTGTTGAATACATTCTGTTATGATCTTTTTGTGGATAGTGTGTATACTTTAATGAAATTTACATCGACATCTCCTTGAGTCTTTACTATTCTCCGTTTTTAATCCCTACCCCATAGCACGACACACTGATTACCGTTCATAAATACACTGTTACACACATATGTCACTTGTTCTCAATTACTTGTTGCTATGATAACAGAACTCGAATGTATTTATGATTGACGTTTACAGATCACAACGATATTTCCACTATATACATCATCTGGATATATACAGCTTGAACTATAACAATTATGATCGGAATTATTAACGACTTATAGTTGTGGATTATCATACCAAATGAAGCTCGAACACGCCAATTCCTGACAATTTAAGTAAGGTTTTGTGTTTATAAATTATATTTAATATCGTAATTGAGTTAATGAGTCAATTGAAACTACACCATGATAGAAAACCTAGGATCACTGAACGGCCGTTTTGTCCTAATGTGAGACTCCTCAGTGGTGCACATCCATGGTTCTGCCCTGCGGGGTTCGAACTCAGAATCTTCAGTCTCGTGTACAAACGCTTAACCTTTAGACCACCGAGCTGGCCAGTATCCAATGTTGTTAGTGTATACCCTCAACTAATCCACGAAATTGACTCATGAACCCAACTATTAAATTATTATAGTATCCACAAGAAACCCCTTTTTGAGTATATTTAATATATTAATACGCTAAATTATGGAAGAAGCGCTGGAAGTGGATAGAAAACACATTGAGAAAAGCACCCAACTGAGTCAAAAGGCAAGCCCACATATGGAATCCTGAGGGCCAAAGAAAAAGATGAAGACCAAAGAACATATTAAGTCTAGAAATGGAGACAGACACGAGAAAAATGAACAACAATTGGATAGAACTAGGAGTGAAGGCCCAAGACAGAGTGGGTTATAGAATACTGGTCAGTGGCCTATGCTCCATTGGGAGTAACAGGCGTAGTAAACTTTGTTATCATTTTTGAGTAGATATATTTTTGGTTCACCACAATGGCAATTAGTATGTAGGTAAACTAAGCCAAATACTTTTCTGTATATCAAAATATCATTGTAAACAAACAAACAAATGTATTGAATAGAAATGTGTTATAGTTTAATTATGTTCGTCAGGGCTGTCCACTCTCTCCATTCTTTGTCATTGACGTGCTTTTACAGACAACACTTTCCTCATCTAAATTTCCAAGGGTTGAACTTCTACCGGGAGATTCACTTGTTGACTTGGAATATGCCGATGACATAGTTCTATTTGATGAAGACGCTGACAAAATGCAGAGTCTTCTGACCACTCTAAGTAACAATGCAAGCATGTTCGGGATGCGATTCTCTCCCATTCTCGAAATGCAAAATGTTGCTTCAGGATTGGGTTACATCGACACCCGAACTAGTGATAGGGAGTGAAGTAGTTGAGCGTGTCAACCACTTCACTTATCTGAGAAGTCTCATCAGCCCTTGTGGTCTGATGTGTGACGAAATCTCAGCACGGATACAGAAGGCTCGGCTAGCTTTTGCGAACTTGAGTCATTTATTGAGTAAACGAGATTTCCATCTATCAACCAAAAGACTTGTTTACTGTGCAGCAGTTCGTTCCGTCCTACTTTATGGTAGTGAAACATGGCCGGTAAGAGTAGAGGATATTCGTAGGTTACTAGTATTCGATCACAGGTGTCTTCGAAACATTGCTCGTATATCCTTGGAACACCGAGTAAGTAACTCAGTTGTTAGGAAACGGGTACTAGGTAAGGATGGCAAATCAA